GTTCATGTGGTTAATGCAATGAATGTAAGAGAAAAGAAACAGGAAACGAGACTTGCTTCTGTGAGATTGCAAAATGCTGTGCGCTGTGTAACCGCAAAGAAAATAAACACTTCTAATATGTATATTTCTGTAATTACAGGTAAATATGTGGCCCCACTTTGAACCTTAGTGAACTCATTCTGCGCCCCGCTACACTGGCATAAAACCAACAGAGGAAAAAGAAGGTACATTGCATGTGTTATTTTTTTATTTATTTATTTTTGTTTGTTTTTTAAATAGATAATTATATTGCTGGACAAAATAAGGGGTCGTCGCACTAGCAAAATGTGAGTGTATGGAGCACGCAGGGATTTTGCAGAGGGAACATTTACCTTGTCGCGCTTAGCCCGCTTTCAGCATATAAGTGACATCAACTCTACATTTTGTACATATTCATTTGTCTGTACAAGTTTGTGTAGCGGTGTCTCTTGACCAGACCTTATTATTTGCCATGTCTCCGATCTTTTCTCCTCTCCCATCCACCAATTTATCCTCATTTTCTTCCTGTCTGTCTCTGTTTCTCTAACTCCTTGTGTACCCGGTACCCTTGAACAGGGATAATGACTCCACCATTCAGGCATATAACAGCATGTCACAACAGGACAAGTGGGCCACCACCATGTCACCTCCATGCACACATACACAAACACACTATGTGTACCGCAATATAATCAAATGACCACAAAATAGCTTAACAGCAAGTTACACATGCTCAGTAAATGTGTAACTCGCCATACACATAAGCCTTTACACCCACTAAAACACAGTATATTCTCAACTAGTGGGTCATAGCCTCTAGGAAAGTGTGAGGTGATGGAAAATAATTACAAAATAAAGCAGAGCCTATTTCACTTTTGACAAGAAAACTTCAACACCATGACTGTCTAATGCACCAATAAAAAGAAACCCTAGAGAATTTATTTCAGCCAGTCAGTCAATCAATAACTTGTTCATGACTCACTTTTTATTTTTCATTGGGAAGCGGTGAGCACAAAGCATGAGAGCGCAGACTGATTTTATCTAATAGGTGGGAGAAACACTAAACTAGACAGGTGAAACCTGGTTTAAAGAGAGTTGATTATATTTATGATCGATTATTTAACATGATATATTTCCATACATCTCATGTTGCCCACTGACACTCTGGGAGTAAAGCCTGACTATTACATGATGGCAGTTCTTCAAGTGAAATAAAGGAAGTTGTGTTTTCCACAGGTTCACACAGTTAAGGGAGAAGGACTGGACAGTAACATTCAGGTATTGTCTTTTTTTTTCAGTACCTGTCTGCGGAGCCA